TGGAGTTCTGATATAGCTATTGAGTGCCAACATATTCTTTTAATCTCTCACGTCTATGCTTTAATTTTGTTAGTAAGTACTAATTGTAAGTATATTCAACGCAAACACTGCTTAAGAAATGCCCTTTTTTTCTAACAAGTATTGCTTAAGAAATTCGAAAAATATAAAACGAGATTTTTATATAGGTTTTTAGCAGAGGATTAGGTAATTGTGCTTAGAGCCTTTAGTTACCTTGTGATGGAAAGGTTTTGAATATATATTCAGTAGGTCCCATTTGGAAGATTTTATTCGAAGAATCTAAATCTCATGCAATTACTTAACGTCGTGGAGGTTCATGATCCACTGAACTGATGAGGCGTGGAGAAGTACCTCACAAAAAAATGACAACATTTATACTAGATTCTGCAGTGGAACCCACGTACAAAACAAGGGGTCATACTAACCTTACATAAAGTTCATGGTGGTAACGGTCAAGATTCTTCTAAAAAACCATTGACATGCTGCCAAAGGCTTTTCATCTTTATTCCTTAGGTTAATTATTCCTTCCTTTCTTCTTTTTTTTTCTTTTTTCTTTTTGACCGTCTCCATCCATATGTATGCAGCCAGAGCAAAGATAAACCACAGAGACGGTGAAAAGGTAATCTTCTCACTCTCACCAGAGTGATCTAGATATCAAATCATTTTAGCTAGGGATATAGATCGAGTTGAAGATTTGTGCAGGAAATGGTGCAAACAACAAAACATTGTTTTCATCATTTCCTATATACGTATCTTTCAAACCAGGAAATGAAAACGTGGTATCCTTGTAAATATTGTTAATAAAAATAGAGAATATTTCCTTCAACCAAACATATATACCCTCAGCTTAATTAAGAGAGTGATGTCCTTTTTACTAAGCATAGATTAACATGGCTCTATAACCTAGTGGTAATTCATTCCTTCTGGTTAATTAGGTAAGCCCCAAACATAGTGCACAGATAAAAAGAACTAAAAAGGAAACACAATCAATAATCATCTACGGATTTGAAGAATAGACAACGCAGCATGCCCTATGTCAATATTATTTAAATTCATAAACCCATATTTTCATATGCAAGATGAATCAAAATAATCTTCAAATCAATGTTCATAAACCTATATGAATTAAAATAATTGCATCTGCAATAAACTAAAATACATATACACAGTATTCCAACCAGCGCTTATTATGCGTTCAATGTTAGCTCTGAACACATGAAACTGGTGCAGGATTGCTCTAGCTTAATTAGTGTTCATAATCCATCAAAATTAGTTTTAACTTTCAAGAGGAACCTAATATATAATTATTGCTCCCCTTTTCCAAGCTGCTTAATGGAATTAAACTCAAATAGATCCAAAGTAAAATCCCAGCATCCTAATTAATAAATTATTGCCAAAAGCAGTGTTCTTAGACACATATATAAGCTTATAAAGAGTGAGTGCATAACTTCACCTATTAAATTAAACTGATAGCATTGGCTGAATTGATAATTGGTATCAAATGCCGATATTCAAGGTTTATACCCATTCAGCTAAAAGGATATCTATATACATTTTATGTCAAATTGTCATTTGTCAATATGATCAAGAACTTGCATCGAGTCAATAATTGGAACATGAAAAACAATCAAGGCAAAGGTACTGCTTAGGTTCGATTCTATTAGAATCATTATACCTAGCATTAGAATGAGTTTTAACTTTCAACCTATATCGTTTATAGCTAAACCATTTGGATGGTCTATATTTTTCAAAACAAGAAAAATATGTCTATAACCCAAAATCCTAAATCCAGTACATGGCCATGCGTAAAACATGCTAGTAAAGGCAAGCCGACAATAATCAGAATGTGCGAAAAAAATTCAAATGAACATGCTCAAATTTAAAACCGCTCTATTTAAAACAACAACCAATTGAAAAAATCAACCCACATTGTTTATATAAAATGGGTTTTAAAAGTAGAACCGTGATAATTAGGTTTGTTACATCTTTTTTTTGGTGAGGGGGAACAAAAAAGGAAACAAAGAAACTAAGAAACTACATCTAACACAAATTAACTATTGACTCAGTTATTCATAATTTTTCTAACCTAAACTACAAACTTAAAAAATCGATAGTAATTTTGGATAAAATCCATAAATATTTCTATTAATACGATGGTAAACTAAAGCTCAATGCCTAAAAAATTCCATCTTTAATGCATTTTGATGGGTTTCCCATTTTCTCTTGCAAATTCCAAGAACTCTTCAACTCGATTTCTGTACTCTTGACTAATGCGACTTGCATTCATCCAACTTCGATTCATTATCTATATATTAACACAAATTAACTATTGACTCAGTTATTCATAATTTTTCTAACCTAAACTACAAACTTAAAAAATCGATAGTAATTTTGGATAAAATCCATAAATATTTCTATTAATACGATGGTAAACTAAAGCTCAATGCCTAAAAAATTCCATCTTTAATGCATTTAGAACAACTCATACTAAAATCAGAACGGGTCGTTCCAGATCAATAATTTACAATACAAAAAATTTAAGTAGAACGGGCTGTTCTGCAATGCAGAACGGTCAGTTCTACAAGCAGTACAGGCCGTTCTGGTTGCAGAACGGTCAGTTCTGCAAGCAGTACAGGCCGTTCTGCCGTTCCAGATGAACAAATAGCAGAAAATAGACCAAAAATTTGCGTAGACAAGAAACTAACCTCAAACGTGTAATGTGCAGACACTTAGAGAGTTACAAACGTCCAATGTAGAAACAAACGCACTGGGAGACTTAGAGAATGAGAGAAAAGGGATTATTAATTTCCGTAAACAGGGAGCGCGGGAATGAAAAATGAAAGGCGCATGATTTTAGGGGCATATTTACGTCGGGTTAGGGTGGTGCGACGTAAATTTACGTCGGACAGTGTGACATCCGACGTAGATGGACTAATTTATGTCGGACTCCCCTATGTCCGACGTAAATTAGTCACCCAATATTTACGAAACTGCCACCGCGTTTTTACAACGTCGGGGTTACTAGTTTCCAACGTAAATTGGGTGACGTAGAAGCCCTATTTTGCACTAGTGTTAGCTAGTCAAATGTCAAAGTGTAAAATAAATAAATTGTTTTACATTTTTTTTATATAAATCTTTTTTGTCAACCGAATATAATCTTATTTAAGTCGAATCACACTATTATGTATGACAAAAAAATTTCTTTGAATATTTAACAATAATAATGTATTTTCTATTTTTTTATGATAACAACATGTCCATGAGAATAAGATATACATACTTCAAGTTTGAACCATATATAACTTTTTGGAGTATCATTTATATATTATGCTTTTCATTACACCTTGTCATTTTCTAAATTCGATTAATTTATACATAGTAATAATTAGAGATATCTAATTCTTTCACCGCAACAAAGGATAAAGCAGACGAAACGGGGAAAGAAAAAGATAAGCTTCATGCCCCATACGATTGTTCGTCTACCCAACATGAACATCCACTCGGATTAACAAAAGAAAAAAAAAACCATGTTTTGTCTTGAATTAAAATGTAGGTTTAGTTTTCAGAACATACTGAACAAGATGAATTACACTATTTGGCATGAGGAATTATATTCATACATTCAATTTCTTTAACAACTCACTTTTTGTTTTTAGGACTAATATGTTTGTCTATTTTTTATTTATAATATAAACATTTTTTCTTAAGAAACAATTCTTATTTACTTCTTAAAGAATTACTTCTTATTCTTCAGCAAACCGATCATATATTATATGCATATGATTTTAGTTTATCCCCTGAGAATCTTAGATCACTATTAGTGTAACATGCTTGTAAGCATTCACCGATACTTGGAATAGTTACAAGTTAGAACATTTTCAAATTTAGGAGTGAATAATATCACGCTAATTAATTATACTTGATTAGTGTCCAAGTTAGATGTTTAGGTAGTGTAAGGTTTTTAATTTGTCTTTAAAATAAGACTGTACTAACCTATGATTGTGTTCACAATTTTGAAAAAAAAAAACTTTTTTAAAAAAAAAAAAACTTTTGATTCAAAACTTTAAGTTCTTAAAATCAGTTTGAAATTAATTTGATTATAAAATTGGTTATAAACCAATTTTGAACATGTTTATAAAAATGATTTGGTTTAGAACTGATTTATTAATATGATTAAAATAATTCTTAAACCAGTTTAGTGTGATTCATTTATATATATATATATATATATAATTGAAAGTAACATAAAGGGTTATAAATTCAATAAATAAGTGTGAATAATCATATTTAGTGAAATCTCTTTAATCAACTACTTTTTTTCAACAGAGTTTGAATCCAAAATATTACTTAAGATTTTCCATCATGATTCCATTCGTGACCAACATAATGTTGGTAAATTTTTCTTTGATTTGGAAATATACCCAAGTTTATGTGGTAAACATAAAAAAAATATAACATTTTTTTTTTCAAATCATCATGATAAAAAAAAAATACATTGCTAACATTAAATATTTAACTTTTAAATAAAAAAATCCACTTATAATTATTTAACCGGCCATTAATTAAAAGTAAGGATTAATAAAACTGATATAACATATACTCATTTTAAAGTATATAATAAAAAAATATCAACCTTATTAATATTATAATTATTAAATTTAAGAATGAATACTTTAAAATACAAAATTACATATATGTGACAAAAAAAATAGTAATTTAGAAACACTATTTTTTTTCAATAGTAACAAGACCTATTTTTTTTGTCAATAGAATAAGACTTAAATAGTAATAAGACATTTTTGTGGCCAACAAAAACAGAAATAAGACTAAAATCAAATCAAATAAGACATTACTCATGTTGGATTCAGCAGTTGGGCCGGAGAAGTGGGTTACTGTGTAAAGCCCAAAAACGTGTCCAAAACAAAAATGGTCCTCATAAACGACAAGGCGTATTTGAGCGCCGAGTATATACACGAAGCATCGAGGTGGCGTTTCATTCTGACTGAAACCCCTAAAAAACCCCGCTTCTCTTCACTTGCGTTCTACTTCTCCTCACTCATTTCTTTGGTTCGTCACTTTTGCTTCTCTCGAAGATGTCTCTGCGAGTGCTGAACCCTAACGCCGAAGTGCTGAACAAATCCGCAGCACTTCACATGAACATCAATGCCGCCAAGGGTTTGCACGATGTCCTCAAAACCAACCTCGGTCCCAAGGGAACCATCAAAATGTATTTCTCTCTCTCATTACCTTTTCCATTTTTTTTTTCCTATTATGTTTTCCCTCACTCTCTTTGAATCAGGCTCGTTGGTGGCGCCGGTGATATAAAGCTTACCAAAGATGGAAACACTCTCTTGAAAGAGATGGTTAGTTCTTACCTTTTTATCACTATTTTAGGTTTATTAGTTGAGATCTACGAGTGTGAGCACGTGAAAATTGTTATGGTGGAATGTTGTTGATGTTGTTTGTTGTTGGTTCAGCAAATCCAAAACCCGACGGCGATTATGATCGCGAGGACGGCTGTGGCACAGGATGATGCTAGTGGAGATGGCACCACTTCCACTGTCATCTTCATTGGTGAACTTATGAAGCAGTCTGAGCGTTACATTGATGAAGGTTAATGACTTTGCCACTCTGTGGACTTGTTATCATTTATTTCTCTATGAAGTTGTTATTTGCGTTGCATCACTTGTACTACTTGTGTTTGTAGCTGTACAACCTAGTATGTGACTATTTATCTTAATCCAGCTTGTGGTAGTTTATTGCTACGAAGTATGAACCACTGTTAAATTTTTACTGCTTTTAGTGATTAAGTGGTGTTTTTTTAGTTAGTTGGGGGAGATTTATAGAAGAGGTAAAATGAAGCTAGGGTGATGATATGATAACCTATGTAGCAAACTATTATTTTTTTTGTTGGAAAAATAGACTGTATGCTCGAGTATAACTAGGAAGTGGGAAGTGCAATCTCTTTGTATTGAAGCAAGAGCAATTCTCTTGAAAAAACTGTGAACTGTATACCTAAGGAGAGGCGTTAAATGTAATCCTATTCTCTAATAGGTTAAAACAAGATGTCCATAAAATGTGGGACATTGAGCTATTTTTTGTTTTGGAGCCTTTTCTGTCATTCCTCCAAGGTGAATGTTAAGATGATATATAAATATTCCAGGTATGCATCCTCGGGTATTGGTTGATGGTTTTGATATTGCAAAGAGAGCAACTCTGCAATTCCTTGAAAAGTTTAAGACTCCTGTGGTGATGGGTGATGAGCCTGACAAAGAGATTCTCAAGATGGTAGCAAGAACAACTGTCAGGACAAAGGTAAATCTTATTTTATTTTATCTGTTTTAGATGACATTTGATCATACTTTGGTATTGTGGACATAATGAACATATAACTTGTCAAATAATTTTTCAACATGCATCATCTTACTATTTTTATATTTCTTTGTAATTTGCAGTTGTATGAATCACTTGCAGATCAATTGACTGATATAATTGTCAATGCGGTGAGTACACATTGAAGTTTTGATATTTACTTTGAACCCTTGTAAATGAGAAAATTTTGTTTTAATGCTGTTTGGTCATTTCAATATCTATTGGACCTAAGACCTTTTACAGCTGGGTGTTCAGTGACATGTGGTTTTTCTATGATAGGTTTTATGCATCCGGAAGCCAGAGGAAGCAATTGATCTGTTTATGGTGGAGATTATGCATATGCGGCACAAGTTTGATGTTGACACACGCTTGGTATGTTTTATGAATAATTGTAGCCTCTCTTTTGCAGCACTGGATTTTGTTAGTTGTATGTTATTTGGATAATTTTTCTGAATTTCATATATACATCTAGGATGTTAATATGTTATTGAATTTCCACCATTATCTTGGTAGCAAATTAAAATTCTCAAATTAATATTACTCTAGTAAAAGTTGGGATGTGATGAGGAATCAGCTTTGTTTACCAGGAAGTTCCTTTTTCATTGTAGTAACAGTTTTAGACAAAGCTACAATCTGTTTTACTGTGAACATAGACAGTTTTCATCATCTACAACAAGTCAACAACTCAAATAGCAATCCATGTTTAACTATCACTTATCCCTTTTGTCTTACTTGTAACTATAATATTATAATATTATGGTGCACCTTATGTATTGGGTTTACATACGGAATTCTTGCACCAATTGTTTCATCCCTGTGTGCTTTTTAGGTTGAGGGTCTTGTCCTTGATCATGGTTCTAGGCACCCTGACATGAAGCGGCGTGCAGAGAATTGTTATATCTTGACATGCAATGTATCTTTGGAATATGAGAAGAGGTAATCAAGCTCATATTTGCCAATTTCATCCAATTTGTGTTATACACACACACACAAATGTATGTGTCACAGGTAAATGGCTGTTATTTGATTCTTTTCACCTGTTATCAGCACATGTAAGTGCATTTGGGAGGTTATCATCCTATCATACCTATTTCTTAATGCATGGACACAAGCTAGTCTGTTATAGAATGGTATACATATTTATATTAATGTAAACTGCTTAATTATCCTCAATTGGTTAAATTTAAATAGAAGTATCTGAAAGCTATAAATTTTACTTGTAATGATTTTTAGTGATTACCAATACCACATGTTGCAAGCTTTATTCAACTGGTCTCTATTTTGGTAATTGTGTTATTTTTTACTTCAGACACAATATGTTGATGTCATGGTTGTCAAATTCAAGAGTGTACAGAAGCGTCACGTAATATTAAAGAACCTATTAATAACATATATGCATAACATAATACCCTTAACAGAACAATTATTCAACATTTCATCTTTATAATAAAGCAAAGCAGCAAACTACAACGTTATAGTATATTAATTATTCAACATTTCATCTTTATTCTAAAGCAAAGCGGCAAACTACAATGTTATAGTATATTAGTGCTATATATGATTAAACAACCTAAATGATCAAATTATATAAATTAATAAAAACATAAGTTTTAAAGTAAAAATTTAAAAAAAGAGTTGATTTCTTCAAATCATTTGAGTCATAGTACAACACTAACACTATGGGGTCAATGGGTTGGGTGGGGGCAAGGATTACATGTGATTTCTAACTCAGTAACTTGTTTACTAGTTAACTCGAGAGTTTGACAACCTAGGTTGATGTTGTGCAGTAAAACAAGTATGCTCACATGACATGAAATGTTCCCATTTGTGTGGGTTTTATGTTTACTCCGTCTTGCTAAGGAAGGCTTAGATAACCTGAAACAAATCAATTATTCATTTACTCTATAAGAAAATTAGGTATTGGTACACTCAAAATTTCTTTGCTATTAATCTGAATTTTCTTTTTTACACTTTCTAAAAATATTGATTTTAACCTAAAACAAATCGATCCTAAATGTAATACATGGAAAATCTTTTTTTTATTTTTATTTCCTCGATGCTGGCTTTATAACTATAAATTTAATAATTTCAATCTTAAGTCTCATTTGGTCAACATTTATATATCACTGGTCAATGCTGCATATGTGATTTTTCTGTCAGAAGTTTGGCCTAATTTGAATTCATTAGTTATCTTGGATGATTGTCTGTAGTCTGAGACTAATGAAGTCAATATTTTCTCCTTTCAGTGAAGTAAATTCAGGATTTTTCTACTCAAATGCTGAACAGAGAGAGGCAATGGTTGCAGCTGAAAGACGACAGGTTGATGAAAAAGTTAAAAAAATCATTGAACTGAAGAAAAAGGTAGAAAAATAATTGCTCTTGTATGTATTTTTACGTGCTGGTCATAAAATTTGGTCTGTGTTATATTGCCATAATAAGGATAATATTATTTTACTGCTAAATACCTCCATACTTGTGGGTGCAGGTTTGTGATGGTAGCGATAGCAATTTTGTTGTCATCAACCAAAAAGGAATTGATCCTCCATCATTGGACATGCTTGCAAGGGAAGGAGTAAGTAACATGCCGTTATGTTCAAGATTTTTAAAACTTGAATATTGTGAAGATGGCTACTTTTTTGTATAAATACTCTTGGGAATTTGATCGTGCACCGGGTATTCCATCTTGAGATGTAGGCTTTTAAAGGTTGAAGTCTTCAGTGAGTTTAGCTAGTATTTTATTTCATTCTTTTAATGATTATGAACTCAGGTGCCTGAGATATTTAGGTAATGAGGGGTAGAACTGGTGTATGTCTTCTTGAAAAAATTGTGAAGACCTATGATGCACAAATATGCTGAAAATGACCAGTACAGAATGAGGTACACTAGTGTCATTTGAAACCTGATTGCTCCCAGGGGGCTTTCAAACACCGAGCAAGTAGTCTCCTTAGTTGAAAGTTTTTACATGATATAAACCAAAAAAAATGTTACTGTTGGAATATCCCATGGCACAAATTCCAAGTTTCTGGTGTAATATAAAGTGAACTCATGAGCCAACCTCAGTTACATAATTCCTAGACAGTTTTCCATCTACTGATTTTTTGTCTGTTTTAGATAATTGCCCTTCGAAGAGCAAAGAGGAGAAACATGGAAAGATTGGTTTTGGCCTGTGGAGGAGAGGCAGTAAACTCTGTAGATGATTTGACTCCCGAATGTCTGGGTTGGGCAGGATTGGTATATGAGCATGTCCTTGGTGAAGAGAAATATACATTCATAGAAAATGTGAAAAATCCTTTTTCCTGCACAATCTTGATTAAAGGTAATTTGTCCTTGCACCTATTGTGAGTTTGTTGAGCATATCCTTGTATACTGTTTATTATTTTTGCATGATGTTTGTCATACATCTTTGGAACACAAACTATCATTTTATTTCCATGGATTTAAGATGAGATGTTGCTATTTTGTCTTGATGTTACAGGTCCTAATGATCATACAATAGCTCAGATTAAAGATGCCATACGCGATGGTTTGAGGGCCGTAAAGAATACCCTTGAAGATGAATCTGTTGTATTGGTAAGATCTTTTTTGAGTAGTCATTATTTTGATTCTTGATTTTTGGTTGTTCCCCAAAATGAACACATGGTTTGGTTAGCATACAAAATCAAAAGTTGTCTGGTTTCTGAGAAGGGTGGCATAGCTGTTAGGTGTTTCAGAAAATAATGAATCAAATTGGAACTATTCTTTTTGTTCATATGGCTAAATAAATTGGAGAAATTCTGAACCTAGCAGTTACATTTGTTGTAGATAATTAATGTTCTTATTTAAAGTGAGATAAGATTAATGTAGAATATGACATGCTTTCAGCAAGTCCTTAACTGAGTTATATCAAAATATGAGCCAGAAACTTTAATCTCACATTATTGTGATAAGGTGCATTTTTATCCTCTTTTGTGTGCTTGAGTTGATAAAGGGATCTAATTGGGAGAAAAGAATGTCCTTTTACATAGGTTTATGAAAATAACTTGATATGTTCCCATAGTTGAATCCACTTTTCAAGTAGTTAATAGTAGGAAAGAAATCAGTAAAACTAGAAGGAAGCAGGATACACGCAATAGCACAGCTAGCTCTTTATGATAGAACTTTATAGAATTTATACATCCTCCTATGCAGAACTCTTGTTTGCATCTTTTATATTGTGATTGTAACAGACTTGGGGAATTTCTTGCCCATGATCAGGGTGCAGGTGCATTTGAAGTTGCTGCTAGACAATATCTGATGAACGAAGTTAAGAAAACAGTTCAAGGGGTAAATGAGTTTCTGGTTTTCCATCATGTTATTATACTTTAATTTTCAGTTATGTATTCCAACACTGATGTTTATATTTATAACCTTGAAACAGCGTGCTCAACTTGGTGTTGAGGCTTTTGCTAATGCACTTCTCGTGGTGCCCAAGACACTTGCCGAAAACTCCGGGCTGGATACTCAAGATGTGATTATTGCCCTTACGGTATACTTCCCATGAATTTATTCAACTTTTTTTGTCTTCCTTCCCCTAATGTGGTTGTATGTATATTCTCATGTAAAGTAGATGACTGATTATCGGCATTATTGTACTTGCTGAATGCTGTTTCAGGGAGAGCATGACAAAGGGAATATTGTGGGGTTGAGCCTTAACACGGGAGAACCTGTAGACCCTGCAATGGAGGGTATTTTTGACAACTATTCTGTGAAGCGCCAAATCATAAACTCAGGGTATGGTTGATCCTCGAGTATATGACACCATCATTAATGAAAACCATGCATTAAAATATTCAAATATGAATGTATAAAAGAATCACATGAAATTAAAATAAAAATCATTACATATAACAAAGTTTCGATTGAAATCATTAGTCTATATTGAAACAAACATGTAGTGGCACATCTCTTTGAACCATCTAACTGATCTAAGCTGCAGTAAAATTAATTAAATGATTGGAAGCCAAAATCTCATCTCTAGCCTGTGACACGCCTACACATGAAATCATGAAAGCATTGATGAAGCTATTAGTAATTGACCTAACATATCGAATTGATTCTATTAAACATTTAGCATATTCAGTATCCTCAATCTTCTTGATTTACATTCATACTCATGAAATGTGGATGAAGGGATTTTTGTTGTTAATTTTAATGTTGTTGGATTTATTACACTGTACACTCAACAATGCACATCTTAAACACCATCGGGATGTATAACCATTTAAAAAGTTGCATTGCACCAAATCATTAAGTTTCATTTAAGTTGGTTTGGTTACAATATTTGTCCATGCTGTACAGGCCGGTTATAGTGTCTCAGTTACTGGTGGTGGATGAAGTAATTCGTGCTGGTCGTAACATGCGGAAGCCAACCTAGATGTTCTTTCTTGAAGCTTCTCTTTTGAATAGGGTGTGCCATGAACTTTATTTATTTGGAGGTGCCAGAAGGATTCTTTGGGATTGTAATGACTCATTTTAATCTTCTCCGGTGAAACATTGTTTGGTTCTGGTTTTTTTTTTTTCTTCATTTATATTTTTATTCTCTCGATGACGTCATGTAAGTGTACTATGGCTGAATTTTGGGTTCCAACTAAAATTTGTAAGCATAATTTGTTTTGTAGAAAATTAGTTGAAAGAATGCTTTACCTTAGTAGTTTTTGCTTTAACCAGCAGCATCTCTCTGAAGGGCTCATACACACGAGCAACCACAGGGTCCATGCTAGCATCTTATTTGTATTTTGTTTGAAACGTGGATGACATTGAACTTAAATTAAATTTAAGTCGCCTATTCCAACTTCCAAGTGCGCTGCATTACTGTTACAAGCTTGTGATGATTAAGGTATTTTGTTGTCATGCAACTTTTGAACATTACAATAAACCAAGAAATATGTGTTGTGTACGAATATTGTAGGTATTTCAAAGCTTAAATCTACCTTTTTATTATTATATATGATATTTACTTAAAAATAAAATATAAATTTCATTCAATTATAGTAAATGAATATTGTGATTTACATATTGCACATTTATGAAGCATGAATAATCTATAGAATAATGGTGAAATATACTGAGCACCCATACATCATGTGGTTTATGGGTTAGATCGATAAAAACAACTCTAGTTTGGTTTATCGCTGGAGAAGTGAAAGACATCATTAGATATATAAATAATTAAATTGAACAGATTAAATTTATTTGATGATAAAATTTTTATTAATATATTAAATTTATTTTCAGCAATAAATGGTCATTTTGTCCAAAACAAAAATTGTTTGATCATCCCCACTTAAATTCAATCTGTTACTTATTCCCTCTCAAATTCAATCTGCTGCTTATTCTATTCAATTAGTTGTGTTGCATGGCAATGGTGAGATTTTGGTAGAACTTAACATTGACAAGTTTTTTGTGCATCTTAAGTTGATTCTGCTCAAAAGGGTCTTCGTGTGTCTCAAGTCGGTTTTGATCCAAAGCTTGATGCTCAACAACAACAATGATGACAATGGTAAAGGCATCTCGGAGGGTTTGAAGAAGCTAGTGCCATTCGCAAAGATGTTGACATGGTCGAACATGAATAGTAGTGTGGTTTCTCCATGTCATAGTACTACGTGTTGTTTCGGAGCTTGGAGCTTGATGGTGACAACAACAAGGACACCTCATAAGGTTTAAAGAAGTTGGCATCGTTCACAAATATGCTTACATAGTTAGACACGAATAATGCTTACATAGTTAAACACGAATAATGGTGATGGGTTCTTCGTGTTGTGGTACTACATGAAAAGGATATTCCTATAGCGAACTACTCGCTCCCTAAACCCTTAGTCCCAAATTCCTAACACTTCTCCCCTGAAACGCTAACTTTGGCGAAGATCGTGATGTTGATGCCAATGACCGCACAACAATCCTCCTTATTGTTAGCCTTAACTTGGAGCACTGTGTGAAGCTACTAGTAAAGTTTGATGGGAATCTACACTACCATGATCAAAGTGACAGTCTCACGGCACTACACATGACACGAGTACGTGTGACAAAAGTACTTTTAGATCTTGACTCAAATCTATTAAACGGCTTTGACTTAGAGCACACCATGAATTTGTTGGTAGAGGTCAATGTGAATCTGCACCATCACAATTGAAGTAAAACATTGCTACTATTCATTTATACACTGGTGGACAATATTAAATTTGTCCATTATAGCTAGCGCCATAGGATAACTTTTAAATTGAAATAGATTTTGTGTTTTTATGTTATATATATATATATGAGGAGGGTTATAATAACACCGGTAAAACTTTTACTGAGTATTATACCCCTAAATAATTTTATATTAAATGTGAATAACTTTATATTGATGTAATATATACATTTCAAAATATTTTAAAATATGAACACTTTGATTACTTTCAAGTAGTTGTTTAACAAAAATTGATATAAACATATAAAGTGATATGAATTTTCAACCTAATGGTTGAATTTACAAAATTCACATTTAATATAAAGTTATTAAGCGGTGTAATACTTAGTAAAAGTTACACCGGTGTTATTATAACCCTACTATATATATATATATATATATATATATATTCCTTTTTACCA